AAATAACCCCAATCCAAAGGCAAAGACTGCCGCGATGGCCTGAGTGGTAAGAGACAGTACTAGTAGACGGAGCCTTTCAACCTCTGCACTATTGCCATTTGATGCTGAATAATTATCTGTTGGAGAGTTGTGGAGGGTGTTATACTGTGCATTGTGGAATGCTTAGCAGCATCCCTGGCCTCTAATCACTAGAGGACAGTAACCTCTCCCCTCCTTCAGTTGTGAAAAACAAAAATGCCTCAGAATGTCCCCAGGAGGGCAAAATTGCTCCTAGTTGAGAATCAGTGCAGAAAACAAAGGTCAGTTTTCCCTAAAGGGAGGAGGGGAAGAGGGTTTACCATGATACGTCTCAAGCTTAAACAAGATTCTTTAATATCATTATAAACCGTATGTTCTTTATTGTTATTATGAGGAAAGTTAACATCTTTCAGTTCTCTAGTAGGACTAAGACTCTAGTTAAAAAAAATGACTTACACATTCTAGATCGGGAATTGTCTTTTCTTTTCTTTCTTTAATTTTTTACATCTAGTGAAAACTGCACACAATAAATTCTACACACTGAAAAAATATAAGCCTTTTTATGTAAAGAACAAAGAGATTTCTGAGTTGAATCATACAAATATTATCTGCTGTAGGCCATGTAATGGTGCACTGTAAGTATAAATTATTTGCAACCAAAGTGTATGATAATTCCATAAAGCTGCCACACTCTACTTTCAAATAATACTTCTGGAAGGAAAAAGTCAAATGTGCTTTACCCCACAGCCAGATATAAAACTGTTGAAAAAAATTTGTTGCTGGTTTCTTTCCCTGGAGTTTCTTAATGCATTTCTACAATGGGCAATATTATGCGCTGGACTGTGCCCTGTGAATTTTTATGTTGAAGGCCTAACCCTCATATCTTACAATATGACTGTATTTGGAGATAGGACCTTTAAGAACTAATTAAATTAAAATAAGGTAATTAGAGTAGGTTCTAATCCCATTTGACTGGCATCCTTATACAAAGAGAAAGATGCAGCACAAATGACTCAGAGGGAAGGTCATTTGAAAGTACAGTGAGAAGACAGCCATCTACAAGCTAAGGAGCGAGGCCTCAGAAGAAATTAATCTTGCCTCCACTTGGCCTTGAACTTCTAGCCTTCAGAATAATCAGAAAATGTATTTCTGTAGTTTAAGTCACCCGCTCTGTGGTACTTTGTTTTTGGAGACCTGGCAAACTAATATAAGCAATTTTCCATCTTCTCCTGTAAAGGCCTTGGGCTTCTCCTTCCCCGCTTAACTGCTCATCGGCAGGTAACAGCACCACAGTACTTCTATGATGTGAATAGAATTCAATTTCGAGATGAATGATAAAAGTACTAATTTAACTCACATTAGAAAAGTTTCCATGAAGGTATTTATAGGTACTAGAGGAAAGAGAAGTGTGGCCCCTCTGAAAAATGATGGGCAGCCGATGAAATGGGACTTTCCCAATACTCCAAATACAGCCTGGAAGTTGATCTCAGCCTTCTCTAAAGATGCTCTGAGAAAATGAACCTATTATCACTTTGGCAATGACAGATGCCATTCTCAATTTTAAAATACAGCTCTGTTGCTTCCTAGCTGAATCCTCGTTTTTCATGCCTAAAACATAGGGTATCATAAATTTGTTTAATATGGTTGCTGCCTTGGCATCCTTTTTTTTTTTCTTTTTTTCCTTTTGGTTTTAAAATCTCTACAATATTAATTTACCTATTTATTTATTTACTTCTTTATTTATATTTTTTGTAGATGGGGTCTTGCTTTGTCACCCAGGCTAGAGTTCAGCAGTGCAGTCATAGCCAACTGTGCCTCAAACCCCTGAGCTCAAGTGATTCTCCCACCTCAGCCTCCTGAGTAGCTGGGACTATAGGCATGCACCACCAATCCCAGCTAATTTGTATTTTTATTTTTTTTGTAGAGACAAGTTCTTACTATGTCGCCCAGGCTAGCCTCAAATTCCTGGATTCAAGCAATCCTCCTTCTACAGGTATGAGTCACTGTGCGCCTGGCCAGCATCCATTCTTAGGCCTAACAGAAGTTGTTTGAAAGCCAGTTGTATCCTGTCACCTTTGGCCTACTAAAACTTCCCTCCCTGTGTGATTGTTTGTGATATGTTCCACTTGTTCCTCATCCAGCTGACCCCAAACCCAATACACTCCACAACTGCTGATCATGGTAAAAATCTAATAGTGTCAGAATCATCAAAGTAAGTTCCTGCTTCCTGAGTGTTTTCTTTAAACTAGCCAATCCACAACCCCCATGGGAAAGCCTAAGGGGTGGTGCATACGGACCTAATAAAGACAGTCCCCAGGTGCTCGCTCTCTCTTGCTCCCCCCTTGCTGGCTGGGCTCCCTGCCACCTCCAGGCTTCCTGTTGGTCTCCTGTGGGCATCCCTCACCTGTCTACCTGTGAGTAATAAATGCCTTCTGTTTTGGGCATTTTAGTTCTACTTCCTCACTGTGTCTCCCCTGACACACATATCCTAACTTTTCCCCCAACCCTTTTCAAAGCTCTCCTGGAGAGTGGCTATCCTGGCTTACGGCCATTCTCAAGAGAGAGAAACCATAAGACCAAATTAGAAAAAACCCTAACAATGGAACCACAGCACAGGGTTAATACAGTGCCTCCTTTCTTAGAGTGATCATGAAGATTAATGATTTACCCATGTAAAGAAAGGAACGCTAATCGAAAGCAATTAAAAAATGTTTGCATTATTAGTAACCATTATTATTATGTTTTTATTTAATATATTAATTATGATTATTATTAACCATTATTATATTTAAAGATCATATAGTTATGAATTAAACACAAGTTCAAATTAATGACAGGTGAAGTATATTATCTATATTAGTAGTCACATTCCATTATACATCACCCTTATTTCATGTTGCATATTTAGAATTTTCAAATACCTAATGCTTCAACATTGCAGAAATACTCCACAATTTTTGAGGATTTTTACATTTAGTTTAAAATGTACTTACTATTGTAAATATGGACTGACAATAATTTCCTGAGCACCATGTGTTTCAAAGCATTGATGTGAGATTGAGGATGACTCTATTATTTCACTTGCTCATGTACTGCAATGCATTTTAAAATTTATTTAAAGTAGCAATTTTTCAAACAATAATTTGTTTGCATAATTATTAATATATTACACTCCTAAAACTGTCTCATTTTCTTTTAATTTTGCAGTGTGCTTTTTGACTCTGCATCATTGGAAATACCTGCTGATAGAAACATTTGTTTCAATATCAATAGATCATAATTATGCAATTATTTTTTATCTTATGTTAGTATGGCTTCCTGCAGACATTTTTTAGAAGACATGAGAATGAATATGATGTCATTATTTCCGAACATCTCAAGGAGTCTAAAATTTATAAAATCTTATCAATTATGACGTAATACTGACAAGACATGAGAATATTTGCTTCATACATCATAGGAAGTCACATTTAAAAATATAATTAACATTTACTTTTAATAGTACTTAAAAATACAGGCACCAATCAGCTCAATATTGTTATAAAGCAAATCAAAAGGAAAAATGGAACAAGGACATTGAAACAAAAAAGTCATCAGATTACAGCAAGAAAAATTTATTTAATTCAACTCGGCTCAACAACTACTTATCAAATAGCTGTTAAGTGCGTCCACTCTGAAGAACACTGAGATGCGTGAAAAAAATGAAGAAAGGAGAAAGGAGAAGGGAGAGGAGGAGGAAGAGAAAGAAGAGGAGGAGAAAAAGATTATAACCACAGTCCAGTTCATTATCACATGGGAATCTGAGGAATTTACATTATGTTTCAGTTCGAGAAATACTTTAGTAAAAGCCTTAAATTAAATGCACTTAGCAGATTCACCTTTCAATTATAAAATTAGGGAGAAGAACTTCAAATTACTTAGAAGAACTTAGTCCACTTAGGGCATTAGCAGAGAGCTGACCATCTCTATTGGTTTTTTGGTTTTCTACAGCTGTTCTGGATAGAACGCATCCTACTCTGATCTACAGGCAAGGCATCCTGTTTACTGTTTGGCTCTGATAGATGGCTTAAGAGGATGAATGTGCATCAGCACTCTTTATTCACTCCTTTCCACCTGCCAGAGTCACCTGTGATATGACAAACTACTTCAGATGGAGATGGAAACCTCAAAAGAAAGCTCACTGAGAGGCAAGTACCAACAATGCTCACTGTAGCTTGAAATTTCCTGGAAGCAATTCTTGCCATGGCTAAGGAAAGCACTTTGGACACTGTGACTTTAATGGCACCATAAAAATAAGGCATTAAACAAGCCTCAGCCTTAATAGACTAGAAGAGGAAGAGTGGAGGAAAATATTCAAATTACCCAAATCCAACTAATGGCACATTCAATCGATGTAAATACATTACTCAAGGTTCTCTAATAACCCCGAGGTTTATCCTATTTTCTAAAAAGAAGTGTGAATGACTACTATTCTCAGACTGCCCTAGAAGTGCTGCTATAGGCATTGAAATTTGGAGTGAGAAACTGGGGAAGGAATAGGGATGGAATGCAGGAACAGTTTGAATTCTGACTATGAATATCAATGGGCTTACAATTCCCAACAATGGTATTTAACAGGGTAGATGCAGGCATGGGGCCCGGCAAACTTACAAGTTGGAGAAGGAATCACAGATCATGTAATTTAGGGCCAGGGGAAGCATCTTTAGAAATCATTTATTAATAATTAGTCCCTCAGTTTTGATGTGAAGCACCGAGACCCAAGAGATGAACTGACTTCCCCAAGACAACACAGTAACCTCTGGGGGTAAGAGTTCCACAGCCTAGATCTTCTGTCACCTTGTTCAGTTCTAAAAAACTATGATACAAGTTGGCAGGGGTGACGGTATGTAATAGTCCTGAAGATGAAAAACAATAGGAATAGAAGTGATGGCTCACTTCTTCAATCCTCAATTTGAAAGGAAACAAGAAGTAGCTTTACTCACCTACAGAGAAAAATTCACTCATTTTCTTTTTGTAGATTTTGAAGTCAACTTCTAAGAAGACACAGAAAATGATCCGATCCACCTAGAGGCAAAAGATAAACACTCAAAGTGAAAACAAAAAAATGGCAACTGTCCTCCCAGAACGTCGTCTTAGAACAAAAACAAATGGAAAGGCCTCATACAGATTTTTGGTTCTATACTGCTATCTACATCATAGCATTGAGTGAAGTTCAAGGATGTGTATAAGGATGTGACTGTGTGTGTGTGTGTGTGTGTGTGTGTACTCTGTATATAAATAAACCTATGGGCTCTTTGGTGGAAAGATGCTATATAAATCAAATAAGAAATAATAAATGACAATAAGCCACTTTGCAGCAAGCTATAAATAAGATCTGAGATTCCGACAGGATACCTAGATTTTATGTCCTATAAAACAGCCACACAAGAGGCATATAGCAGAATGACAATAAAGTATGTCAGTAAACAAAGAGCTCTTTGTCCTACTCTTCCTAGACAAATATATTTATCAAACCTGTTAGTATTTGAACAAGGCCTAAAAAGCTTCCATGTAGCTTAATTGGCATGAAGCCACTTGCTTTTAGTTTAACACACTTGGAAATGCAACAGAAACAAAAAGTAACTAGTTGACAGTGACACAAGGTCAACATAACATTTAATTGTGTAGCTATTATTGAATAAGTAAATGCCACCTCAAAAGTAAAATGTATGCATAGTCCCTTTTTTGTTTTGAGAGAACTTCTGTGTGTAAAGAGTTTCTTGGAAACATTCAGAGAGCAATACAGTAAACGGAGAAGAGACATGGAATATACATGATAGCTCACATATATCTGATTAAATCAGTGACTTAATTTTATGTCCTAGAAATAAATACCCCTGTAGTTATTTTGTTTTAACAACATAAAAAAAATTGAAAATCACTCACTGGCAAGTTGCATAGAACATCAAATGAGGTGTTTCTCATGGCAGTAGGAAATGGAAGTGGGTGTGTACGTGGCAGGACAAGAAAGAACCCCAATGGAAGTCACCCACCTAACCTCCCTGCTCTCCTAGCCTACGTGATACAGATCTCACTAGTAAGACAGTTCCCAGTAGAAAAGGAGATCGTAATTATTCTCACTTCTGTATCTGCGATTGTTGACTTTTTCCCCCCAGGCTTTACATGATCAGAATATTTCTAAAGTCAACCAATCGATCAAAAATCAAAACAAGAAAATTTGACTTAATGCAGATACGAGAAGACCAGGCTGAACGGTGTCATTCCTACACATTTCCCCCATACTTTAAATCATTTAATATAAATTATGAAATTTGTTTAACACTCATGTTTCTTGCGTGTGTATAAATATATGTGTGAGTGTGTATGAGTGTGTGTGTATGAGTGTGTGTGTTTGTGTGTGTGTGGGTAAATGGCAATGTTATTCTCTGCTAAATGTACGTTTGTTTGTTTGTTTGTTTGTTTGTTTGAGATGGAGTCTTGCTCTGTCACCCAGGTTGGAGTGCAGTGGCACGATCTCAGCTCACTGCCACTTCCGCCTCCCGGGTTCAGGTGATTCTCTTGCCTCAGTCTCCCGAGTAGCTGGGACTACAGGTGCGTGCCACCACACTCAGCTAATTTTTTGTATTTTTAGTAGAGACAGAGTTTCACCGTGTTAGCCAGGATGGTCTCGATCTCCTGACCTCGTGATCTGCCTGCCTCGGCCATGCAGCCCATATACAGATATTTCAAATATTAGAGGGAACTATAATCTGCCTTTTAGCATATTAGGCTCTGTTACCATGGAAATGATTTAGGTCCAAAACTCAGCAGCCTAATTTATTTTCCCAGAAAAAAAAAAAAGGTGGGGCGGAGGGTGACAATGAAACACTTTTAGTTTAAATTAATTGTGTGGCCCAATTCTCTGCCCTTACCCTTAGGCATAGCATGAAAAATGTCTTGGAAGCAAGGTGAATCCGAGAATTAGCCTTATTCACTAAGTACTTATTATGTATGTATATGTGTATGTATTTATATAAGTGTGCACAAACATATTCTCTGGGGTTATTGTTGAACAAGAGCTCATTTAGTTGACAAGCTCTGTGTTTATGAACACACCATGCATACTATCAGTGCTTGTGGCACACTGCGTCTTCCAAGATGGCATGCAATGCGCTTTCCATCCCACAGTTCTTCTCACAATGTAATAATGATACTCCCTTCATTGGGAAATGGGATCCACAGTTATTCTTTGAGCAACACAGCTTTGAGCTGCACACGTCTACTTATATGTGGATTTTTTTTCAGTAAAATTAAGCAGAGCATGCCTGCCTCTTCTGCTTCCTCTTCCACTTCCTCCACCTCTACCACCCCTGAGAAAGTATACCTATCCCCCTTCCTCCTCCTCCTCAGCCCACTCAATGTGAAGACAATAAAGATGAAGACCTTTATGATGATCTACTTCCATCTCATGAACAGTAAATATATTTTCTCTTCCTTATGGTTTTCTTAGTAACATTTTCTTTCTCTAGCTTACTTTATTGTAAGAATACAGCATAGAACACATGTAACATACAAAATATGTGTTAATCAATCTTCTATGTTATCTGTAAGGCTTCTAGTCAATAGTAGGCTATTAGCAGTTAAGTACCTGGGGAGTCAAAAGTTATACATGGATTTTTGACTGCATTGGGGATAGTCACCACTTACCCTCACATTGTTCAAGGGTCAACTGTTCTACCTCTTGAATCTGAGAGGCCTATGACTATGGTAGAAATGATGCTATATAACTTTGCAATCCATGTGACAAAAGGTGATACAGTTTGTGCCTGGTCTTCTTGGGAGGCTTGCTCTTGTACCCAACAACCATGCCATGAGGAAGCAGAGACACTATATGGATCCAACTATCCTCACTGAAAGTAGGTAGACTTTAGATTATTTCAACTCCAGGCCTTTGAGCCATCCCAGCTAATGTCACATCAGCAGAGATAGGTCATTCCTGCTAAACGCTGATTTCAAATTCATGAGCTAACCGTCAAAATACATAACTAGAAATCTGATATTCTTTTAGCTTCTCCCTGTAACTGCTTTTCCAGAATCTCTTGTTTTTCCAGCTATGTAGTACTTGACTCCTACTGAAAAGCCCAGACTGAATACATAAAAAAGGAGTCACAGTGGGATGAGGAGAAAGTCTAATTGTTACATGGCTGAGAGACTGGAAATCTGACTTGCGCAAAGGAAAAAGGGCCCAGATGCCCCATACTAGCCCCAGATAAATTTCATGAGAACCTACAAGAATGCCTTGCTATTGAGGTCCAGGAGCATGATTTCATTTTTTTTCTCTTTTTTTTTTTTTTTGAGATGGAGTCTCTCTATGTCACCCAGGCTGAAGTGCAGTGGCGCGATCTCGGCTCATTGCAAGCTCTGCCTCCTGGGTTCACGCCATTCTCCTGCTTCAGCCTCCTGAGTAGCTGGGACTACAGGTACCCACCACCACACTCGGCTAATGTTTTTGATTTTTAGTAGAGACGGGTTTCACTGTGTTAGCCAGGATGGTCTCGATCTCCTGACCTCGTGATCCTCCCACCTTGGCCTCCCAAAGTGCTGGGATTACAGGTGTGAGCCACTGCGCCCGGCCTCATGGTTTCATTTTTTAAAATGTTAGGCAGTAAAATAATTGTGTGAAATAGTGGTTCTTGAGAGATTGTGTTCGTTCATTTATTCATCAGATATTAAGTGATCACTTCCAATTTGTTGCGCCTAGCCTATATGCCATTCACTTATAGAAAACATGAGTCCAGAAATCGAGTGATTTTTTTTCCCCAAGGCCGAAGCAATCAATTAAGGCAAAAACTCAGGTGTCTTCGCTTTTAGGATTTATTTTTAAATTTTTAAATACATTAGAGATGGAGTCTTGCTATGTTGCCAGGATGGACTCAAATTTCTAGGCTTAAGCAAACCTCCTGAGTGGCTTGGACTATAGGAAGATAGTGTATGAATCTCACATCCAGAGTTTGTTTGTTTGTTTCTTCTGTGATATCACCTAGAGAGACACACACAGAATTGAGTTTCTAGGCCTGTCACTAGCTCTGTTACATCAGACAAGCCATTATCTCTCCTCACCCTGGTTTTTACATCTTTCTAAAGAAAAGATGGAATTATCTAATCTCTATCGTTTTTTGTTGTTGTTGTTGTTGTTGTTTTTGCTTTCTATGCCTCTGTTACAGTCTATGTCAAAAGTTAGTTAAGCTTAAGTTATATTTCTCTGAATGGTTCTGGATTAGGGCTGGCCACAGAGAAATGTCCCTGAGATTCACAGGGCGGAAGTGCAGTCAGAGACTTTATGTGAGGAAGGTGGTGCAGGGCTTGGGCAGGTCACGCACGCCGTTGCTCATCACATGGGTGTGGAGTAGCAGCTGGCCCCACAGCTTCTCCAGTTCTTGATGGTTCTTCTGCCACACGTTCTTGGAGCCAGGCTGGGCACACATGAAGTTCTGCAGCGAGAGCACTGGCTCCTTCGGCAGGACATCGCAGCTTTGAGGTTCCAATCAGTGAGAGACAGATACACGGGCCTGTGCATCTCTGAGGATTCCAGTTTTCCCTTGTGACTTTCATTTGTCTTTGTTCTCTCCTGCTTTGCATGCAGCTTTCCTATTGACAACTTCCTCTTTATCATCTGCCCTGCTGACATACTTCTGGCCCTGTTCGGATGGAGAGGCAAGGGCCTTGCATAGACATCTTCACTAGCTCCATTCCATGGGCCCCGGTTAGAAGCTTTTCTATTCAGTCAGTCATCCCCTTGTGGAATATTGCTTTCCCAGTTTCTCCCACAACTGTACAAAGTCTAATCCCGGCAATAAATCTGTTACCCCATATCATTCAAGGATTCTGCTTCTCTGACTTAACTCCAACTAATGTAATCTTCAATATCATTTTAGTGAATATTATGTAGAGAAGAGCAATGAAGTACAAAGAATAACAATGTTCCTTGTTAGAGGTGTGCAACCTGTCAAGGCTTCTCAAATTCCAATTACTTCTTTTTCAATGGACTTTTGTTGGTCCTGGCCCATCTTCTTGGTTAACTTCCT